CGTCACCTTTCAATCGCAATCAAAAAATTATCAAATAGCAGAGAGAATGTGTTTACGCTTCTTGTCTTCTATGAAGCGATGTCACAAAAGCGATGAAAACTTCAAGCTCTTAGTACGGTGGTAAGGATAAGAAAAAAAGCTATTAGAAAGTAGAGTACTCAGCAGTTCTGAATTTTCTGCTGACTTTAGACCAACTTTGAGATTAACGAGAACATCATAGCCGTTCAAAATCATTTTGCTTTATTTTTCTTTTTTTTTCGATGAACTAATCATCACTATGTAAAACGCCAACATGTGAATGGTTTTTCTTTTTCTGAATGGTGTGTCTTTGTCATAATTAAAAGCGGCACAGTTTTCGTAATACACAATTTACAGTAAATATGTGGCTTTTAAAAAATTGACGTCATTAGTAATTAAGTATTCAAGGCATTTCAAAAACTTTAAATGTCTTATCGTCTGACTATCTGTCTTCGAATGTTTCTTTCTCATGTATATAAATATATGCGTATGGGTGACATATGCATGAATATATTAGACAAAATGCTGCTTTAAATGTGTTTTTCTCGAATTTTTTTGTAGTTCTACAATACATTTTGCTATTTTACTTATAAGCACTATAGGAAGTATATAAGGTTTACTGAGAGCTGTTAACACATGGCCAATATAAGTCGTAGAGTCGACTTGACCCTTTTTGTGCCCGTCTGTTAAGGTCAGCAAAATATTCTCACAATGCTATCTAAAATGACAATTATGCTCGCTAGTTCTGATTTCCAGTTTCGTTAGATCGACTTTAGAACTTCGACCAAAGAGGATTTCGAATTGTTTTCCCTTATTCAATGCAGAAAATATAGATAACTAAATTGATTTATGGGTTTCCTCAAAAACACCAAGAAATGCCATCATGTACATCTTATCAAAATGTGCTTTTAAATATCGTACATTAGCGCTGTTCAGCTGCGGCTATAATTAGCCACATTGGGAGTCTGCGGCTGTACGCCACTCTCAGAGAGACTTGACATGGGTCAATCTTTTACTATCCCAGTCAAGAACATTATACATCAGTGTGGTATTTCTTAATCCCAAACACCCCCCGCCCTTCTCGAATTGAAATTTTCATGAAAGGTTAAGAGTTAGAGGTAGGAATTGTTCTACGTGAGGGCATTTAACAGTCGACCATATCTGACTATAAAGTTTTCACTTCTTATTACATTCGACTATTGCGACAAAATCATGCAAACTGTACAAGAGTTTTCTCGTTTCAGTACATGGAGGTTGATGGAGGTTATGAAAAAATTCTGTCCAAACTAACTTAAATTGCCCTCTTGTTTTTTCTTTATTCCTGCAAAAGCTAATATTTTTAGGACCTTATCTTTCATATGTGCATATAAATTAGTTGTTGTGGTTTTTCCTTATTTTTTTTTTCTAATGTCCATTCATAATAACTAAGCAAATGCTTTACTATTTTTGATTTCGCATGTATATAGATTTTTACTCTTTCTAATAAATACCAGCAGTTTGCCTTGAAATTTTCTTTAGGCCTGTGTTTTTTTTTTTACGCAAATTTAAAATTCTAATTTAGTAGGAGTGCGTTTTCTAGTTATAATGGCTTAGCATTTTAAAACAAAACTTTGTAAATTCTTTTAATAACTCTTATAAACCGGAGAGATAAGTTCCTAAATAAATCACTGCTAAATAATATAAATTTGGGAAGCTTTTTCAGTCATTCATTTCGAAGGAACAGGGTTATATTCATTTTGGCGAAACGTTTACAGCATTCAGAAGGAAGATTCAGAGGCCTCTTGATCAGCAACAAATTCTAAACCGATTCAAGTGCGTCTATCTGTCCGTGTAATATTTCTGAGAAAAATTCATCTCGTCGCGAAAAGGAAGTTATCGGGTTCAAATATGACAAACTTATTAGGGTGTTCCCAGCAAGCAAAGTTGCTACTGAAGTTGGGCCAAATCAGTGGAACTGTACGCTCACAGTGCAACATAACTTGAGGTCACCTCTGGTTTGAAAAATAAATAAAAAAATGGTGCTTTATTCATTATTTATAAACTGAACCGTTCAGAACAGCCCATCTGTCCATCTGTCTGTTAATTGCTATGGTAAAAGACTTCATCGTAAAAAAAATGGAAATCGCTTCAGACACGCGGCAAATTTCCACTTTTATTCTACATACAAATAGAAAAAAACTGCCGGGCCCATTCGATAAAGTAAATAATAAAAACTTAGTTTTTGTCGTTTTTTTTGCTTTTTTGCTCTAAAAGCAGTTGTAAACAGTGACAGGTATGAAAGATTTGTTCGCAGCCATATATAATTTTTGCATTTATCTTTTTTTAATTTAATTTTAAATTGGGCTAAAAGTCTTTGAAGGAAAACTTCAAAAAGGAAACTAAATAGATTAAATTTTAGATAAATGCATTGATTTGAGTCACAATTTATTTTATATTTTAAACGACTTAATGACTTTGACTTAGGACGGAACAAGAAATTCACTTGTAAACAATTTTTTATGATTTTTTAATTTCAGTTATAAAGATTATTAAAGTCCATAAAAATTATTGACCATCAATATTAAGCGCAATGGCAGCATCATATCTATATTTTACCATTCCAAAAGTTGACAATGCTTCATGATCATTTGAAAAGGTCGTTCGGATAACGCTAGCAACCGAATTATAGACAACTTTCAAGCAATGCTCAGATATTGATCATTTACCGATCGAACGTGTAATTTTGCCGAAAATCAAGGACTTTAAATGACAGTAGTAAATAAACATTAAAGACTCTGTGCGGGGTATTTGCTTAAAATACTATTCAAACTGTTGGTAATATTCCAGTCCAACAAATTTAATTAGCAGTTGAATGTTGTTATCTTTATATCTATCCATCAGCCATGTTTTCCTTCATTGGTTTTTATTTTAATTTTAAGATTGTCCTTGGATCTGAAAAACTAAGAGTGCTCTCTTATGCAAGTACGAGCAACAGATATACGCCAGGAGTATTAACGCATCGTATGTAAGCTTAATAAAAACACAATCGTAGAAAGAAAAGAATGAATTGTTATGCAAACCAATCAAACTCGTAGATTTTTCTTACTCCAATTTTAGCGTATTTCCAATGATCCTGAACATGAATTAACTCCTCTTTTGAGAGGAGTATACAAGCAATGTGGTCATTAGAAAGTCCATCTTTCAGAAGCTTATTTGCTTATTAGACGGCAAGGACAAGATTAAATCAAAGGTTTTTTAAAATATTACATAATCTGAAGAATATTTTCTAATTCCAAGAACATGTCTTTTCATGCTTCGAAAAGTACTTTTGTTCTTTGCTCTTGAACAGCTTTAGCCGCTGATTGTATGTATATTTTAATCCTAACTTGGATTTGAACTTCGCAATTTTGTGTTAAAATTTTGCTTATGAGATAGATCAGGAAAATAGGGCCGTAGATAAGCTCGTACGTTTCTCTTCACAATTTGCTTAATTAGATTTTACAAATCTCACAAAGTTAAACTGCCGATTAGTTTATGAGAGAGGCCATGTCATATTTTCAGGATTTACTAGTTGTTGCACTTACTTTCATTACGAAAAAGACGACTGCTGCTCGCTGGTTGCAGTTTTTGTGTAGTCTTGCATTTCATATTTAAACCTATTTTAAATTGCAACATTTACACTACATATGCACTAAACTTTACGCTTGTAACGCGTTTCTAGCGGCCAAAACTCTTATATTAACTTTTTTTGGAAATTTTGCTTTACATGCCCGACGCCTACAAATTCAGATTAGTAATAGAAATTGGAAATTACACGATAGATTTCCTTTAGTTTTCGTAACAACCAATTTTGAGATCCTAAGCTTAAGTTTCGTTTTCTATCAGAAGAGTTTTCGTATCAATTTTGCTCTAAAATGTAATTCTCATATGCAGGTAACTCACGCGCACTTTGTATTGTTTACAATTTAGTTCTGGATTACTACACAAACAAACTATTGAATTGTACAGTTAACAGTTCATTTATAAGAGCATTAGGCTTTTTCATTAATTTCATTGCAGTGAACCCAAGTTTGTATGCCAAATATTTACATACGAAGAATTAATGCCATTTTAAAGCTATAGGTGAGTTCGTTGAAGGTGTCAGACAAGCAATATGTTCCGTCTGCAAGTTACGGGTAAAATCACACACCCCTTGTGCCGATACAATTGTACAGCAAAAATTTTTGCAAAGTTACAAGTTTTCTGCATCGATTAGCTTAACATTTTAATTGCAACTGTAGACAATTTTGGAATAGGAAAGGAAAGAAATTGAAATCGACAGCATATATTGTTGACTCGATTTTGAGTTTCCAGGAAATTTTTGATTTTTCTCTCTACTTGCAAAAGTATGACTTCTAAAGGTACAATAAGGGGAAAAAGTATTGTTCCTCCATTTATTTTTTAAGCAATCTGAGTATAAATTTTTTCCGTAATTGAAGACTCGCGATATCCTATTTAGAAACTCGAATGTAATATATATGCATACTTATGACACTACCATGAGTAAATGCAAAATAATACTACAACTTAGATTTCGGCTAGGAGAGCAAAAGAAATTCCCTCTTAGTTTCGTGGTAAAAGATTAGATGATCTTTCCCTTGTCTGCAAGCAAGTAAATCTTGCGTCTTCCGTGCTACGTATGAGCTATAAGAATAGAAATTGTTACTTTCTTTCTGGATATAGACGAGCTCTACATTATTTAGACTTTTACTCAAAATTGCTGGGCAAATATGGGATTACAAGCATGGAACTCATGTACGGGGAGAAAAGATTTCAAATTAGCTGTAGTCTAGTGAATTTTAGTCTATACGCCCCCACGAAATTATTGATTTACCTGCAAAAGGTTAAATGGCAAGAAAAGAACATTTTCTGATCAGATTATTGTGCCTAAGTCAGCTAATATGTATTGAAAAGAGTTTGAAGCAAATTGTTTGAATTCGTTTTGGTGCATTTTCAATACTTACTTACTTTGCGAATACTTTTCTTGATTAAGTTTTACAGTTGAAGTTTTTTCTTTTTAATATTCTTATTATTAACTTAATTTTTCTTTCTTTCTTTATTGTTTTGAAATTCTTTTCTTCTTTACTGTATATTTTGTTTTTACGCTTTTCTTTTTCTTTTTTTTTTTGCCCAACTTTTTTTGTCAACACTTTAGGAAATCGTGCGGATATTTCACCTTCGCAAGAGTGGAATTTTTTTCAAGAAAACGTATGAAGAAAACAAGCAACAAAACAAATTAATTATGAAAATATTATATATAAAAAAAACAAAAATATATAAAAAAACAAAAAAAAAAAAAATATAGCAAAATAATAATAAAAATAACGAAAATATTTTCATAACATTATTTAAATATTTGTTTTAATATCAGACAACTTTTTTCTGAAAGCAATTCTCTTTTAGTTGCTATTGCTGCATAATATACAAATTGTTAACAAATTTATGAAAAAAAAACCATCGTTTAAACGCCTACTGTCTGAGGTCAACCACATTTAAATATATATATATGTTACTTTTTTTTTAAATTTTTAAATTTTCTTTTATATAAAACACAATCTTTATTTACTTTGCTATTCACCTTTATGTTAAAAAAAAAAAAGTTTTTCATGGTGTTTCATGAAACACCTGATTTTTATTTTGTTTTAATTCTTCCATGAGTTTTATGAAAACGTAACTTTCGGATATTTTTTTTTTATCAATAAATATGTGCTATCCGACACTTTGGCGATTTAATTTTCTTTAAATTTATATCGTAAAAAAAAATTTAATTTCCACGGACGGTGACCGTAGTGTGCCTACGAAGTCATTAAATCACCAAAAAGAAAAAAATGCATCGGTGCGTTAATCATAATAAACCAATTGGTATAGAAGAGCTCATATAAGTTGCTACGTCATTATATTTAACGAAAATCGAAAGTAAATGTAACACAGCTGACTGCTTGTTGTATATAACAACAAGAACTGCAACAATAACGGCATTAGCTCTTGGCAATAGACATAAAAATCCTAATCGTGTGTGTCACCCATAAGCCACACTGTTTATTTTACAAAAACTCCCTGCAAAACACACATATAAGCACACGCATCGATGCACTCAGGTGATCTGTACAGTAAGCCATAAAGTAAACGACCTTTATGACCATAAAAATGAAAAAAAAAACTTGTCTACTTCACCATAAGCAGATGCGTAAGTGAATTCACATTTAGCAACACTTTAACTTTGAAATGTGATTTTATTTTGTTTATGTTTTTTATGTATTTATATATAAACTCTTTCATTTCGATTCCTTTCAAGAAAAACAAAACTTTTTTTATATTTATGGTCCATTCCTTTCAAGCTTTTCTATTACAATCACTGTTGAAGCAATGCACGGCTCAACTTTCCATTTTCTTCCGCTTTGAACAACCGCTCGCGTTAAACGCATATTTGGTACTGAGCGTACACATTGCTTAAATATTTTCAATTAAGTACGTAGTATATATTTACATTCATCGTTGCCATCAGTTGCTGCGCTGTGCTGTTACCGCAATTGCTGTTTGTTTGACTTGTAAAAAAACATAATCAGTTGTGTTGCATTTTCTGGCGGCGATTTTCTGCTTTCATGAAACAAAATAAATGGATTTTTGAATGAATTTTGCTTGCCCGCAACATGTTGCTAAAGAACCATTGCTTCAGGAAACATTTACTATTTATGCAAAATGGAGAAGTAAATTAATTGATAACAGAACCAAATTGATTCAGAAGAATATATGAAAAAAAAAAAATTAAATATTAAATTAAAAATCCAAATAAATCAAAAAAAGATTAATTTTAACTTAACCCAGAGCAAAGACGGGTGAATGTTTCAAGGGAATCAAATAGGAATTAGGAATACTTTTTACAGTTAGGAAAATATTATCGACCCTTCAATATCCGATTTCCAGAGTTTTTAAACCGAAGATGAAAACCAATAATTCTGTTTTCTTTAACTCTGTAAAAAAAAGTCGCATGAACCATCCAAAAATGGCAAATGTTCTTAATTCTCTTGACAATATCCAATAAAGTAATAAAAGCTGATAAGTTTTTTTTAGACTGTCAAATTCGAATAACGCGTTTTCCGTTAAAGAATAGTGCCTTCTTACAGAAATTTCACAGTTTTCATTCATTCAACGCCGAAGAATGCCGCTGGATTCATCCTGTCGAAACTTAAGCAAAAAGCTTCGGAGATCTTACAAAGTATACCTGCACTCGATCCGTGTTAAATCGTTATCCTTCCGTTTGTATGTGCACGAATTAGTTCGTGTAAACGTTTTTCTAGACGGAAAATATTATCTATTTACACTTATTTTTACATTTACTACCGCCAATCCGATGATAATATATATAAGTACATAGTTTATGATGAGAAATTAGGATAACATTTTAGTTAAACAAATAAAGAATTAAAATATTTGAGCAAGTTTATAGAATATAACATCTTAACTATTCCAAATTCCAAAAATTTAACTAACTACGTTGACGAACAATACTTTAATGGACCTTAACATTCGTTGAAATCTACGAACATCTTATCATATCCTATTAGATTTTACCTATTCATAGGAAAGCCACAAAACAAATGTTTATTTTCTTTCGTTTTATTATCTCGTAAATTGCTTTATAGCAATGAAGCTAAGCTTCAAGCTTCTGAACACTTCTTGAATGGAGGAATATATTCACCATTGTATGTACGAAGACAAGGAAAAGCCGGTTACCGCCAACCAATACTTAACAATATCGAAATTTAAATTTTGTTTTTGGTTTTTGTGTTTCTTTTCAGAAAATGTGGCGGGTATAAAAGATTGGAATATTTTATTGTTATTATTATAATTAATTCAGCCAGAGAAATTAATTCTAAGACTAAAATCTTAACGCGCTAGCATCTAAGCCCGTCGACTTCATTGAAAAACCTACCGTACTTGAGAGTTGAACGCACGAAATTCTTTGATTACCAGGCCACTCATGCGATTAGATTCGAATATAATTTTCTCATTTCTTTGCCTGTTTGTCGCGCAATCATTTTTTTGCGATTGATAACAACTTAACTAAAAGGACCGAAATCTGAACGTGAATTTAGAAAATGCTGACATAAGAACCGATATATCGTGCTGAGTAATTAGAAAATGATTTGTTTCTTTCTCTTAATCGGATGTTTTCTCATAAATTTTTATATCCAAAACATTCGAGTAATACTCAATGAAAAAATTTCTTCCATACGATAAAAAATGAGTTAGCTGTCGATGACATTAAAACGCTGTTCTAAGTCAGCCCTTATGCCCCATTCATATCCAAAAATTGCGGCATAAAGCCAGAAAATTTTGTTCACTAAGTTTCATTCGAGAGAATCTTTGCTTTTATCATATATTTTGCAGCGCTTGTAGCCCTTCAAATTACCAAACATGAATCACCATGAAGGTCTGCATGTCTTCATGTATCTAATAGAGCGATTCATTTTTTATTACCCCATGTGAAGGAAGCAATGACCTCTATTTCTTCTTTTTCTTTTAATCGTTTCTTGATGAATTATAAAACTACTCACGATTTTTAGAATTTTACGCTTAAAAAAAGCAAAACACGTATAATTTAGTCAACTGACTGAACTACAATAAATTGGGTAAACGATTTAATAAATCAATTTCGAACTTAAAGTATTTTTACATGACGGCCGGAAGCTACCAAACACAACGTATTTTTGCAGCTTGCTATGTCACCTGTATATCAGACTGCGAAATCTCAAAATGAATGAACACGTGGGTGAAAAATGTTGAACCTAGTTCTGTATTTTAGAACTGAAATAACTAAAAAGCCTATGTTTACGTAGGGGGCATTGAATATTCCATAATTGTGACCACAGCTTAGAATTATAACCTTATAATATACGATTATTCGCCCTTTCACCAAGATAGAAGAAAACGGAAAGTGAATCTGCTTTTTGGCAAAAACCTTGGCATGCGGCAAGAGCTAGGCAGTAACCTCCAGCCCTAACACTTTCTGATTTCCACTTGATCAAATCCACACTATCATTCCTGGTCCACAGATTTGCAGATTTCGAATATGTCTCAACGGTTATTTGGCTTCAAAGCATAAAATTTCTATCCCGAAGGCATGCGTAAATTGCCCGACTAGACCATAAGACTATCGGTAATGATGGCAAATATTTTGGTAGTTAAGGTTTGTAACAAGCATGTTTTAAACATATTTGTGTTCGATAAAAAAACACCGGGAACTTATTTTTATACATAATACATAGAATAGAAAAAGGCAAAAGACGAAACATCAGTGTTCTTATGTTGTCTGTTGTCTAATGTACTATATTGTCCCAGCAAAACTGCTCGTCGTCAAGTACTTTTGCCATCACCAAATTACTAAATTTCTCTTATATGATTACAAAGTTCCCTAAGCAGCCAAGATAAATGTCAATTCTGTAGGAATTTTACATCTTTTTCATCACATTCTTTATCCGATTTTTATATAGACTGCAAACAAAGCCACTGTTATAATATCTTTACCAAGAGGTAAAATTATTATATTTTATTTCAGCTGATGCAGTTATATGCTTTTTTATCATTATTATTATTATTATTTTTTTTTTTTTTTAAATAACATAATAAATAATGTATTAGAATTGAGTACAAATGTTGTATGACATTTCATATTCTTTCAAAATTTTGATTCTCAAAGGTCTGTAGAGGTAAAACTACGTGAAACTGGAAATAGGACAACTTACGTTACATTTCACCCGTTTAAAGGTCATAATATATATAAAATGTTTTTGGGTCGAACCAATCGCACTTATTACTTTTCTTGCTTTTTGGCAAATACTACAACTAAAAAACTTGAATAAAATCTGCTTTTCATATATAACATAAATCGTAAAACATAAATATATTTTGAACAAATCGAAGAATTTAAAATATTTTGTTGAATATCTCTCTTTACGGATACTATATTTGAAGTGGATGTAACCAGTCCGTTAGATTCTTTATTATGTAAACACTGTATAAAAATTCCAAACATCTGAGAGTAAGCGTCTATGTTTGTTTACACTTCTCAATAATTGAAAATGTGTTTGTATAAAATAATCGCTCAACCAAAGCAGCATAAATGAAAAAGGGATTTCTATCCGACCTTGAAAGCTGCATTCGTTCCAATAAAAGGTGGCACGGGTGCGATCGAATGATTTTCCGGAGATGAATGAGTAATCTAAACTTCATTTGCAAAATATCTTATGACGTATCTGATGACGTTTTGAAGATTCGTTTGTATGGAGGTCAATATATCATTCTTGCAACATAAGGATTTACATTTACAATCCTTTTTTTTTTTCTACTTAAATCAGCCGAAAATACATGCCAGAGGTTCCACGAAATAAGTTCGTATGTTGTCTTTGATAACATACGAAACAAATTGACTTGTGTATAAATTGGTCTAATAAAGAACCGTACATGACCTCTGTCACGCAGAAGAAATCTGCAACTTGCTACGCTTGGCAGATATAGGGTCATCAAGCAAGTGTTCTTTTTTTCTTTTGATTTATAATAAGAACTAGGGGCTGAAATATGTTATTTTAGCCATTGGCTCAAGCCATTTTTATTTG